GTATCTCCCACATCTCCCCGCGTCTCTCGGGCCGTAGATGCGGAGGAGAGTTGCCGCACTCGGGAGGGGGGGGGGGGGGGGCGTGTACCTGTCCCCCCCTGTGCCCCGCTGTACTCACGCGGGGGTTGTGCATACACCGCCCCAGATCTGGGGAGATCTGGGGAGATCTGGGGAGATCTGGGGAGATCTGGGGAGATCTGGATCCCCATTTCGCCCCGTACGCGGGGCGACCGATCTGCAATCACCGTCACGCACCACCAATCCAGACTGGGACGCACGCACATCCGCGCACGGTGATTTCTTTTTTCTAGGCCTGGGGGTCGAGGCGGAGGGGGAGGCCACCAAGGCGGCAAAGGCGCGCAAGCGGGCGGGCTTGTCGGGCGGGCTGCCGGGCCACAAGTGGGTTGAGACCTCGTCCAAGGCGGGCTAATAATAATAATAATACCAGTAATAATAATAATAATAATCACAAGTGGGTTGGACCTCGTCCAAGGCGGGCGTGGTCTTTGCGTACGACCGGCAGGTGGAGCTGCTGCCCTGACCGGCCACCTCTCGGCGGCCACCTCTCGGCTGCACCTCTGCTGCACCCCTCTCGGCTGCACACCTCTCGGCTGCACCCCTCTCGGCGGCCACCTCTCGGCTGCACCCCTCTCCGCTGCACCTCTCGGCTGCACCCCTCTCCGCTGCACCTCTGGCACCCCTCTCTCCGCTGCACCTCTGCTGCACCCCTCTCGGCTGCACCTCTGCTGCACGCCTCTCGGCTGCACGCCTCTCGGCTGCACGCCTCTCGGCGGCCACCTCTCGGCTGCACACCTCTCGGCTGCACCCCTCTCGGCTGCACCCCTCGGCTGCACCCCTCTCGGCTGCACCTCTGCAGTTGGAGCTGGGCTACCGGGAGCTGCACCTGACCGGCAAGGCGCTGCGCAAGCTGCTCGGCCGGAGTGAGCACGCCGTCTCTCGGCCGCCATCTCGGCTGCATCTCGGCTGTAGGAGCTGCGCAAGCTGCTCGGCCGGATCGTGCACGCGCCCCCGGCGGAGCGGCCCGAAGTGCAGGCCGAGCTCGACCCGCCCACTCGGTCCAGCATGTCTCGGCCTCGTCTCGGGGCACCGGCCGGCCACCTACGTCGGGCCGTAGGCCGAGCTCGACGACCTCATCAACTGGTCCAACATCGCAAACGACGAGTCGGACTTTGGCGCCTCGCTCCGGCTCGGGGCGAGATCGCCCGAGAGCTGATCGAGATCGTGCCGAGATCGCGCCGCCGGCATCCTCCGAGATCAAACTCGCGCCCAGATCGCCCGAGATCGCACTCGGTGTTGGCGCCTCGCTCCAGCCCGCCCCCTCCTTCGCGACAGGCGGACCTCTTCAACCACGACGTCTGCTTCGCGCCGCAGGCGGCGCAGCAGCTCTCGACGGCGTACACCCTGCTCGGCCGCGCCCCCTTCGCGAAGCTCGCGAAGCTGCACGCCGCAAAGCGCCGCGGGGGGTGAGACGGGGTGAAGACTGTTGAAGTGCAGTGACGGGGAGCAAGCCGGTCACAGACGCGCATCGGCCATCGACATATTTTACGGTTTCCGTGTTCACTTCTCCGTTTGAGCCTGGTCCGCGTTTCCGTCCTCGTGTTCGGAAAAGACTAGTTGCAAAAAGTCTGTGGTTCAAAACCCGCCAAAAAAAGAAAAAAAAAGCTCGGCACGATCTACTCCAAAAAAGTGACGTAGAGCACCCATTTTTTAAGCGTTCGCCGCATACACAAGGTCCGCCTGCGTGCGGCGCCAGCTTCTCAGGGCCGTAGCGCGAAAAACGACGGAGGAGATGCATCCTAGCTGTCGCCGCCGAAGGCGACTCGACGCCGCTGAGATCGGAGATCAAGCTCTGACAGGTCACACGTCGCTCCTTTGACGCCGACGTGACTCACCCGTGCAGAGCGCATCTGTCCTCGTGTATGGAAAAGGTAATTGACGGTGTCTGTCCTCTGGGAAGGGCCACCCGTGCGTGACTACTCCGGTACTCCCACCCCGGCTACCCTACGTCTGATCCGTCTCGGCGGCGAGTCGCGAGACGTCCAACATGCAACAAGTCAAGCCAAGCTGCAGAAACAAGCTTTCAGTGCCTACAACGTACAAGTGTAGGCACTGCCACTGGATTATCGTGCGCGCAGAGCGCGCTGGTGCTACCCGGACACACGCGCGGAGCGCGCTAGCTGGACACACGCGCGGAGCGCGCTAGCTAGACACACGCGCGGAGCGCGCTGGCTAGATACCGCGCGGAGCGCGCTGGCACCTATGTGCGCGGAGCGCACCGCGGTACCGGTAGAGTCTAGACACATGAAGACAGTCTGTTGCAGTCAGTTGTGGCCACGCTGCTTCGAAGCTGCGGCCTGACGTCGTAGCACTCGTCTGGCAGACGCTGTGTCTCTGCCTTCTTCCGCGTCATGACCACACCCCGCTGCAGCGAAGCTCCAATGCCGCCCCTCTGTGCATGTGACCTGTCGTTGTGGTGAAAGCGGTCCCCCCAGTTGAGCCCGCCCCAGTTCTCGAGCGCACGGTTGATGAAGGGCACGGCGACGGCCGCATGTAGCGCCCAGAGACACGCGCGGAGGCGCGCGCCGCTGCAGAACACGCGCGGAGCGCACCGCTGCACAGGCGCGGAGCGCCGCCACTTGAAATTGGGCCTGTGGGTGAGCCGAGTGGTTCCTAGCGTGTGAGTCAACTCTTAATAGAAATCGCACCTAGCCCTCCTCAACCCTCAAAAACCTTGCACCCTTCACCCTTCTCATCACTGCCCCGGCGCCCATGGCTACCGCGCGCGCACCTTCACGCTGCAGGGGCCGGCGGGCGTCGCGGGCCTCCCTCAGCTCGTCGTGCCGGCGGGCACGTGCGCCGCGAGCCGCCTGCCGCTCGCCGTCACACTGGTGGCCGCGCGAGGCCACGAGCATCGGCTGCTCGAGCTCGCCAGCCAGGTGGGCGACGCGGTGGTGGGGGGGAGTCGCGGCTGGAGTGAATTTTGTCGGTGCTTCGACCTTCGTGGGCGCTGTGGGAGGCTTGAGTCGCCCGACTCCGAGAGCTTTTGTCTTGTCTGTCAACGGTAGTAAAGGGTGTGGATGCTGGGTTGACGGAAATCGGAGGAAGCGACCCACTTCGCCACAGACGGTCCCGCGCCTCGCCGCTATGACGGGGACACACCCCGCACCGTCCGCTGTGTCCCCGTCTTTGTCCGGAGTGAAAAGTCCAACGCGCTCGTCGGTGACGGCTTCCTCCAACCTGCGCCGCGCTCGGCGAACCTCGACAGCGCCTTCGGTGGCATGCACCTCTTTGCGACAGAAGCCTGGAGAGCAGCTCCTCTGCTGCTCACACACTCTGCACAGTTGACACAGCCTACTGTGCGGCTGCCACAGCTGTGACAGCGATGGGCTCGCCCTCACTGGCCCTCAGTCACTTGTGCTGCGGCTTGTGTGAGCGACACTGCTCGGCGACTGCCGGCACACTGTGAGACCATGGGTGTGAGGTAAAACCACGCTACCAGCGCTTGGTCACATCGGCCCCGAGGTCAGATCCATCTACTCTGTTGATGACAAGACTTGTCTACCGGCTGGAGCCGAGCAGGAGGGCCCGGCGCACAACCCCCTGGTCAACTCACCCTCCACACCCCGTACAGCAAACGCGTCATGCGACAACATGCCAACGACACACGGACACGCAACCTCCACGCGCAATGGTGGAGCGACGCACACCCCGAGGACGAGCACGCGAGGGAGCCTCACCCCCTCACCCCCAGCTCGATGACATCCTCGGCCTCCTGGTACAGCTCGCGCAGCCGCGCGAGCGCCTCGTCGCTCGCCCCCTCCCACATGCCGCGGCCGTGCGCCTCGAGCAGCCGGCGCACCATGTTGCGCACCGCCTCCGGATTGCTCCGCGTCAGCGTGGCCGCCATCTCCTCGTCGCCAATGTACCGCTCGTACGCGCCCTCGTACGTCCACTCGTCCGTAAAGCCGGCGGTCGCGCCCCAGCCGACCATCGCGGTGAAGCGCTGCGAGATCTCGTACGCGCCGCCCGAGCCCTGCGCGGCCATCGCCTCCGCCCACTTTGGGTTGAGCAGCCGCGAGCGGTACTCCATCCGTAACGTCGCCTCGAGCTCGCGAGGCTCGGGCGCGCCGCGCGAAAACGTCTCCACGACGCTCACGCCCACGCGGCCGCCGTCGCCGCCGCCGCCACCGCCGCCGCCTCCCTGCCCCACACCGGCGCGCCGCCTCGCGCCCTCCGCCGCCGTCTTGAGCGCGCCCGTGTTGGCATAGTACTCCTGCCAAAGGTGGGAAGGAGGGTCATGCGCGGAGGAGGAGGGCGAGGAGAGAGCGACGACACGAGAGAGAGAGAGGGAGAGATACCGAGGAGGGGCGGAAGGAGGGGAAGGCGAGTCCGGAGGCGGGGAGAGAGAGGGGGGGGGGGGGGGGGGAAAGGGACAAAGGGAAAAAAAAAAACACAGGGACAAAGAAAAAGGGCACCTGGATGTCCTTCAGCCCATACTCGACGCTGTCGATCATCTGCACCAACCGCTCGG